GCTCTTCGCATCAGGTGACCAAAGTACTGGAATTTCAGCTTTAACATCAATCCTTCCAGTGAACATCCAGGACTGATCTCCTTTAGGATGGACTGGTTGGATCTCCTTGCAGTCCAAGAGACTCTCAAGAGTCTTCTCCAACACCACAGTTCAAAAGCATCAATTCTTCGGCACTCAGCTTTCTTCACAGTACAACTCTCACATCCATACATGACCACTGGAAAAACCATAACCTTGACTAGATGGACCTTTGTTGGCAAAGTAATGTCTCTACTTTTTAATATGCTGCCTAGTTTGGTCATAACTTTCCTTCCAAGGATTAAGCGTCTTTTAATTTCATGGCTACAATCACCATCTGCGGTGATTTTGGAGCCCAGAAAAATAAAGTCTGACACTGTTTCCACTGTTTCCCCATCTATTTGCCATGAAGTGATGGGACCAGATGCCATGATCTTCGTTTTCTGAATGTTGAGCTTTAAGCCAACTTTTTCATTCTCCTCTTTCACTTTCATCAAGAGGCTTTTTAGTTCTTCTTCACTTTCTGCCATAAGGGTAGTGTCATCTGCATATCTGAGGTTATTGATATTTCTCCCGGAAATCTTGATTCCAGCTTGATCCAGCCCAATGTTTCTCATGATGTACTCTGCATATAAGTTAAATAAGCAGGGTGACAATACACAGCCTTGACGTACTCCTTTTCCTATTTGGAACCAGTCTGTAGTTCCATGTCCAGTTCTAAGTGTTGCTTACTGACCTGCATACAGGTTTCTCAAGAGGCAGGTCAGGTGGTCTGGTATTTCCATCTCTTTCAGAATTTTCCACAGTTTATTGTGATCCATACAGTCAAAGGCTTTGGCATAGTCAGTAAAGCAGAAATAGATGTTTTTCTGGAACTTTCTTGCTTTTTTGATGATCCAGCGGATGTTGGCAATTTGATCTCTGGTTCCTCTGCCTTTTCTAAAACCAGCTTGAACATATTAGGATTTGTTAGTGGCCTATTCTGTTATTCCTGTCAGTTGTTGTTATTTACTCGCTAAGTTGTGTCTGACTCTTTTGCAACCCCATGGACTGTAGAGGGCCAGTCTCCTCTATTCATGAGATTTCTTAGGTAAGAATACTGGAGTTGGTTGCCATTTCCTTGTTCATGAGTTCTTCCCAAGTCAAGGATAGAACCCATATCTCTTACATTGGTAAGCAGATGTTTTTATCATTGAGCCACCAGGGAAGCATTCCTGTCAGTACTTCTATTTAATTTAGGGACTAATATCCTTAAATAAAGCCAACAATAGTGAAAATGATGTGAAGTGACTAGGCTGCTTTTTTGTTTATTTGCATTCTTTTGTTATTGTTGTTCAGTCTCAAGTTGTGTCCGACTCTTTGTGACCCTGTGGTTTGCAGCACACCAGGCTCCCCTGTGCTTCACTATTTCTTGAAGTTTGCTCAAATTCCTATCCATTGAGTCAGTGATGCTATCTAACCATCTCATTCTCTGCCACCTCCTTCTCCTTCTGCCCTCAATCTTTCCCAGCATCAGGGTGTTCTCCAGTGAGTGGGCTCTTCAATATCAGGTGGTCAGAGTATTAGAGCTTCAGCTTCAGCATCAGTCCTTTCAATGAATATTCACCGTTGATTTCCTTTAGGATTGACTGGTTTTATCTGCTTACAGTCCAAGGGACTCTCAAGAGTCTTCTCGAGTGTAATTTGGAAGCATCAGATCTTTGGCACTAAACCTTACTTCTGGTCTAACTCTCACATCCATATGTGACTACTGGAAAAACCATAGCTTTGACTACATGGACCTTTGTCGGCAAAGTGATATCTCTGTTTTTAATATGCTGTCTACATTTGTCATAGCTTTCCTTCCAAGGAACAAGTGCCTTTTAATTTCATGACTGCAGTTACTGTCCAGTGATTTTGGAGCCAAAGAAAATAAGATATGTCACTGTTTCCACCATTCCCTTTCTATTTGCCATGAAGTGATGGGACTGGATGCCATGATGTTAGATTTTTGAATGTTGAGTTTTAAGCCAGCTTTTTCACTTGCCTCTCCTCTTTCACCCTTATTGAGAGGCACTTTAGTTCATCTTCACTCTCCACCATGAGTGGTATCATCTGCATATCTGACGTTGTTGATATTTTTCCTGGCAATCTTGATTCCAGCTTGTGAGTCTGGCATGCTGTACTCTGCGTAGAAGTAAATAAGCAGGGTGACAATCAACCTTGATGTACTTGTTTCCCATTTTGGAACCAGTCCATTGTTCCATGTTTGGTTCTCACTGTTGCTTCTTGACCTGCATACAGATTTCTCAGAAGACAGGTAAGATAGTCTGATATTCCTGTCTCTTTAAGAATTCTGCAGTTTGTTGTGATCCACACAGTTAAAAGTTTCAGCGTAGTCAATAAAGCAGAAGTAGATGTTTTTCTGGAATTCCCTTGTGTTCTCAATGATCCAACAAATGTTGCCAATTTAATCTTTGGTTTCTCTGTCTTTTCTAAACCCAGCTTGTACATCTTGAAGTTCTTAGTTCACATGCTCCTGAAGCTTAGCTTGAAGGATTTTGAGCATAACCTTGCTAGCATGTAAAATGAGTGCAATTGTATAATAGTTTGAACATTCTTTGTTATTGCCCTTCTTTGGGACTGGAATGAAAACTGACCTTTTCCAGTCTTGTGGCCACTGCTGAGTTTTCCAGATTTGCTGGCATATTGAGTGAAGCATTTTAACAGAATCATCTTTTAGGAATTGAAATAGCTCAGCTGGAATCCCATCACCTCTACTAGCTTTGTTTGTAGTAATGCTTCTTAAGGCCCAGTTAACTTCACACTCCAGGTTGTCTGGCTCTAGGTGAGTGACTACACCATCATGATTATCTGGGTCATTAAGACCTTTTTTTGTTTAGTTATTCTGTGTATTCTCACCACCTCTTCTTAACCTCTTCTGCTTCTATTAGGTCCCTACCATTTCTGTCCTTTATCATGCCTATCCTTGCATGAAATGCTCCCTTGTTGTCTCCATGTTTTTTGAAGAGATCTCTAGTCTTTCTCATTCTATTTTCCTATATTTCATTGCATTATTCGTTTAAGAAGGGCTTCTTATCTCTCCTTGCTATTCTCTGAAACTCTGCATTTAGTTGGGTATATCTTTCCCTTTTTCACTTGCTTTTTGCTTCTCTTCTTTAACTCATTTCTTTTAGCTCATTTCATGTAGGTGACAGCCCGCTTCATGTATTAATTAGAGTAGCTCTGATTATGTCTTATTTTTCTCTTCTAGCATGTGGTACTTAGCATGAATTTCCTTAAACAGAATCATAGAGGTTTGTATTCAAAGGGATCTTAGAGATTATCTGCACCAGAGGCTTTCAGCTTTTTTCTTTTTCTTTTTAAAGCAGCAAAATCCTTTTCTCAAATGAAATGTTATGTGGAAACTTAATATATAGATTAATAAAAGCACAGCTGATTCCTAAGCCTAGCAATCCAAGCCATGTAGGTCTCCCTTTGTTGTCTGTGGCAATCTCCTGAAGGCACTTCCTTGGAACCCTTAGGGCTCCCTAGAGTGCTGTTTTAAAAGCACTAATTTACAGCAACCCTTTCATTTTTCCAGCTGAGGAAATACGCTCAGTTTGTGTTTTATCCAATGTTACAGGGTAAATTAGTTGGATTAAGAACAGTCCTTAAATGTGCCATTCATAGGAAAACACTGTTAGACAAGGCTGGAAGTTCTTGTTTCTGATGCAGATAACTTACTATCACATTTCTTTTAATCAGCTATTTTTTTTTTTTTGCTATATATACTACATATGGAACATTTTCTTTGCCTGTAACTGATACAAGAAACCCTTTTCCAGCATTTAATAGATGGGGATTGGAGAGATAAGAAGTGTCCCAATCTCTGTTTAAGAGAGCACATAGTATGCTTGGGAAAAGAAAACATGCAGTTGAAAAGTTAAAAATTGATTCAAGACTTGAGATGTAGCAATGCAGTGTTGAATTAATTAAGCATAAATGATACCAACAGTAAGCTCTCTTGGAGTTCAGAAGAGTGAAGCTACTCCAGTTGGGCTCAAAGACGTTTTAAAGAGAAATGATGACTGAGCTAAGTAGGACTTGACTAAGTAAACAGATGTAAGTCAATATAATATTGCAAATAAGAGCAGAGCTTTGTGTGACTGCCAGCTCCTTCACTTACCTCTGTCTAATATTGGACAGGTTCTTAACCTCTGAACCTAGTACTTCATCTGCAAAATGGAGATGTATGGCATGTATATGAATTAAGGGCATATATATTGGTGTAACATAGAGCTTTAAATATGAGAAGTTTATCACAATAAAAGTTTATTTCTCCCATATATGTGTCTAGATTGGACAGCTTTCCATGAGGTGTCTTAGGGACCCAAGTTCTTTTTTGGCTTCCACTTTTCCTAGGTTTTCTCTTAGAAAGAGTGGAGAATTCCAGTGGAGACGCTCATAGGGGCTTGGCCTGAAAGTCATATATGCTCTGCCTATTTTCTATTGGTCATAATTCTACTATAAAGCACAATTCGACGTACCTAAGCACATATGATTTAGTTAAGTTGTGTGCACAATTTGGAAAGGAAATAAGTCTTAGTGAATATATAAACCCGGAGAAGGTAATGGCAACTCACTCCACTATTCTTGAGTGGAAAATCCCATGGACAGAGGAGCCTAGCAGGCTGTAGTCCATGGGGTTGCAAAGAGTCAGACACAACTGAGTGACTGAGCATGCACCACACGAACATACAGAGATCTCTACTACCTCACTTTGTTATTGGGAAGACTGGAGGAAATAATTTATGTTTTATGCTTAGTACAAGGCAAAGCATGTAAAGGTATTTAAGCATCCTTTTTAAAGAATAGCAAAATGCATGTGTTTTAGCCTCCTTTTTGGAGAGTTATCACCTTATTTTTGACTCTTGGCAGTAGTAGTAATTAATATTTAAAATGATTCTTCTTCTTAAATTCTTTGCTTCTTTTTCTTTTAGCATGGTGTTATTGCTACAGAAGATGAAGAATATTTTATTGAACCATTAAAGAATACCACAGCAGATTCCAAACATTTTAGTTATGAAAATGGCCATCCTCATGTCATTTACAAGAAGTCTACCCTTCAGCAAAGGCATCTATATGATCACTCTCATTGTGGGGTCTCGGGTGAGTGTGTGGCTTTTAGAAAGTATAGTCTTGTATTGCCACTTTCTTCTGGCACATATGGTAAGATTAATAATAAAAGATAAATAGGAATTTGAGTAGTTAGAATGATAATATCCAGAGTTTACTTAAAAGATGTCACCTGTCAATAATTTCAAGTCAATTTTGGAAGTTTTTTAAGAAGCCTGTAAAATACAAGTCTCTGTAAAAGTTGGTATTTTTTTTCTCTGAAAGTGTTAGTTGCTCAGTCATGTCCATCTCTTTGCAACCCCGTGGACTGTAGCCCATCAGGCTTCTCTGTCCATGGAATTCTCCAGGGAAGAGCACTGGAGTGAGTAGCCATTCCCTTCTCCAGGGGATCTTCCCGACCCAGGGACTGAACGCTGCATTGCAGGCAGATTCTTAACTGTCTGAGCCACTAGGGAAACCTGTTTCTTTGAAGGGGAAACCTTATTTTATCCAGGTAATAGTTACAGCTGTCATGCACAGGTGTTCTGTAGTACTCTTTGCTGTTTGGTTTGCCTGATATAAGAATCTAAACACTTGAATAAAACTTGAAGAGTCTTAAAGGTAGTATTCAAAAATAGTGTTAGTTCAGGTACTATGGAGGTACATAAGAGAGACAACAAACCTAGACTTCAGTGGTTAAAGAAGGCTTCACGGAGGAAGTGAATTTTAAGCTGAGGGAGTAATGGGTAGAGTGTTCTGTATAAAAGGAATAACATTTACAAAGGTTGTAAACCAAAAGAGAAAACATCACATTCCTGAAACTGACAGTTGATGTAACTGGATATTAGAATATGGATTGGAGAGAAGGGGTGAGATTCATAGTGGTTTGGGGTGAGTGCTTGTGAGAGGTGAAACTGTAAAGAAGTGGCCTGGTCACAAAAGGCTTGTAAACTTTGTTGAAGAGTTTGTTTATCTTAGGAGAAGGCAATAACACCCCGCTCCAGTACTCTTACCTGGAAAATCCCATGGACGGAGGAGCCTGGTAGGCTGCAGTCCATGGGGTTGCGAAGAGTCTGGACATGACTGAGCGACTTCACTTTCACTTTTCACTTTTATGCACTGGAGAAGGAAATGGTAACCCACTCCAGTGTTCTTGCCTGGAGAATCCCAGGGATGGGGTCGCACAGAGTCGGACACGACTGAAGTGACTTAGCAGTAGCAGTTGTTTATCTTAAGTGTACTGCTATCCCACTGAAAGGTTTTATGCAGTGAAAATGAGATGATTAGATTTGGGTTTTAAAAAGCTTACTCTGGCAGCCTTATGGAGACTGAATTGGGCAGAAGAGAAAGACTAGAGGTAAGGGGCTAGGAGGCTATTTAGTCTAAAGATTAGGAACTTGGAGAAATAGAGGATATAGCATACTATAGTAGAAAGAACATGGGCTGTGGCATATTTGTGGACAAATTACCCAACCCTCTGAGTACTCCTCTCAGCAAACATTAGTTACTCAGTCCAGTGGCAGCAGCCATCATTATTACTGGGATGACCTTTGAGACACTATATTTAAAAAAAGAGTAGATTTGTTCCATGTATACAGTTCTGGTAGCTGGAAGTAGGAGCAGAGTATTTCAGAGACAGCTTTCAGCTTAATACAAAGAAGAGTTCACCAACCAGTAACAGGTAGATCTGTAAAAGTGGTATAGTTTACCTTGTGAGTTAGTGAATGCATCACCCTGTTTCTTCTCTGTATCCTTCATAGGCTTTTTTTCTTCTGCTTCAAGTACAAGTTTTCTTTGGAATTTTTTCCTCAGCTTACTGTTCTTGTTCTCCATACTCTCTTCCTGAGTAATTTCTGAGGCTTTTAATTGTGGGAGATTTTTATTGGTCAAGAATAATTGGTCCTAAAAAAGATCACTTAAAGTGAATCTACCTGAGAGATGAAATACAACATCATATTAAATAATGAAAAAAAGTTTGATTTGTCTTTGGATTGAATAATGAAACTAAACAGTATGGGAATCATTTATTTATCTTATAGTTAACAAAATTTAGGGTATAAGTGACAACCTTACATAAATTCTTTAAAAAGCAGGATTCACATATTTAGCTGTTTATTGTGATATAACTTTCCCACCATTTTTTCCTTAACATGACATTCTCCACATCATGATTGTAAAGATCACCTTTGCAAAAACATTTAAAAATTTCATATTCTGAAAAGTATCTCTTAACTATCTGAGATTCAAATTATCGACTTTTGCAGTGCCTATTTTGTTAATAATTGATGTTTACCAGGAAGATTCTTATTTTTCAATGGTTGAGACATGAATCAGGCAGTTCTATTTTTATCATCATAAAATTCTGTCCTCTTGGGAGAAGATTTTTATATTCTACAATCTCTTTCCCTAGATTATGGAAATTGTTTCCCAAATGGTCTTTGCTTTTAAATGCATCCTTTTATTAGCCATTTCTGCTACCTCTAACACTGGTCCATGTAGCTTGAACCCTCATTATCTCTTGCTTAGACCATTGTAATGTGTTTCTATCTAGTCTTTCTATCTCCAGGTTTGTCCATTTCTGTCTTTTGTTAGGTTTGTCTCCTAATTCTGGGCTTACACACCTTCCCACTGGCATCCCAATAGTGGGAATATAGTAGTAGTAGTAGTTCTCTAAATTCCATGGATATGTCACTAGATATTACTGGGGAAAAAAGCATTTTGCATTTAATAAGTTTGAGAAATGTCTGGTTAAGAACTACTGATGTTAATTTTAATACTAGTTCAATGGTATAGTTCAGTAAAGTGAGATGTGCATTTACAGGTATACACTGCCTGTTATCAGGAATTCAAGTTTATATTAAAATATATAAAAACTGTTGACAGTGGGTATATTTATCTCAAATTAAAATATGGATTTTCCCATTCTAGTTAGATTTAAGCTGTTGATTAAAAAACTTTTTATGGAGCTCAAAGTGAGTCCCTCATGTCGGGTCCCGCTCCCTGCGCTTAGTCACCATCCCTTACCAAATTTAGGAAATCAAGGACTTTCTGCTCACAGCCAGGTGAAGGGACACCAGATCTGTCAAGATCAAGAAAAATAAGGATAATGCAAAGTTTAAAGTTCGATGCAGTAGATACCTTTATACCTTCATCTTCGCAGACAAAGAGAAGGAAAAGAAGCAGTCCTTGCCCGTAGGTTTGACAGTGAAGGAGCTAAAATGAACCACACAAATTAATTTGAACTGTATTAAATTTTTAAAAATTAAAAAGAAAACTTTTTGTGAAAGAAATGTCTGTTCTTTGTAGAAATTTAAAAAATATAGGGTGAAAAGAAAAAAAAGAAGTTGCTCTTATACCACTACCCAGAGATAACTGAATGCTTTTATAGTCTGTTCATACAGATATGTCTTTATACCTGCATTATCTACTAATATATATAAAGTAAATACTCATTTGTCATGCATGCACAAGACTATTCTCAGTGCTGGGATGCAGCAACAAATAAAGCAGAAAAAGTTCGTGCTTCCTGGAATCTTATATTCTAGTGAGGAGAGTGTTACTCAGTTGTGTCCGACTCTTTGCCACTCCATGGACTATAGCCCACCAGGCTCTTTGTACATGTAATTCTCCAGGCAAGAATACCAGAGTGGGTTGCCATTTCCTTCTCCAAAGGATCTTCCCCACCCAGGATTCAAAACTAGGTCTCCTGCATTGCAGGCAGACTCTTTACCGTCTGAGCCACAAGGGAAGCCCAGTGAGGAGAGACAGTTACTAAATAAGCATTTAAATAAACAAATAACTACATGGCCAACCGTCAAGAAGTAGTAATGAAAAATAAAGCAGATCAATGAGATAATTTTGCATGGCTGTATATATTAAAAATGTTTTGATATTGATCAAAAACTTAAAATTCTACTTTAGATAACGAAGAGATCTATGTATTTGGCTTTGGGGGTAAAGTTCTTCATTGTACAATATATGTTTGTGGAAGAGTGTTTTCTTTAACATTGTATACTCAATCCAGGATTGAGTGTAATCCAGGATTACACTGAGCAAGCCACATGTAATGAGTATCATTTGAAAAACTACTTATCTCTGTTTTGAAACAAAACAAGTCAGTTGTGTATTCTACTTCACACTAAAAAGGATGTTGATTACAAATCATTTAACTTAATGTTAAGCAGTCAGTTGACAATTGTAAAATGTAGATAATGTTTTGTAATGATCTAATCACATGGGAGAGATTTTAATTAATCTTTAAATTTTATTCATTCAGAATACATGCATGTTTATTACATGTATTTATCAGACTACAAGTCTTTTAAGGGTTACATTTTTTCATTTATGAATGTCCATCAAGGACATTGTGAATATATATTTCTGATGGAGCAGTAGCCAAGCAAACTAACATTTAAAAGCCCTAAAAGTTGAAAGTTGTGAAAATGGCAATAACAAAATTTACCTTATGCTAAACGCTATAAAATGAGAAACACTGTTGCTAATGTTTATTTTGCCCAATTATGTCTAATTCTTTATATAATACTTTAAATGAAAATAAGGAGAAATTGAATGAGAAGTGAAAATGATAAAAACAATGGAAATTCTGTCCTGTGTTTAGACCTTTAAGCTGTCCAGCCAGAGGAAGAAGAAAACTAAGCATGATTTGAATGCATGAGTGGTTTCATGATCACAGAAGACTGAGCAAGAGAAATTGGGAGTAATATTAATGCAGAAAAGATTTTGGCTGTCTCATATCGATATTACCACAAACCCAATGGCTTAAGCAATATACTTTTATTATCTTGCGTTTTCTGTGGACCAGAAGTTTGTGTATGGATAGGTTATTTATTTAGCCTCAACCAGGCCTGGGTTCTCATCCAGAGTTTTTACTGGGGAAGAATTCACTTCCTCACTCCCATAGTTGTTGGCAGCATTCAGTTTCTTGCTGTTATATGACTGAAAGCTTTAGTTTTGGCTTATTGTCTGCCAGAGTCCACCTGCAGTGCCTCAGCATGTACAGTTTACCAACTTGGTTGGTTCCTTCCTGTAAGTCAGCAAGGGAACAACTGTAGTAAGAGAGATGCTACAATATTATATAACGTAGATATGTAGGCATATACATGTAATCATGCACATCTTATCATTTTTCCTGTTTTCTGTTAGAAGCTAGTCACAGTTCCAGCTCATACTCAAGGGAGGAGATAAGGACACAGGCGGTTATGGGAACTACCTTAAGAGTGTCTGCCACAATGTGCATAGAGGAATACTTACTGACTGTCTTGGGGATATGCTGTTGAATTAAGAAGTAGAATGTTTCTGTCTTTCTTGACCTTTAGGAATAGATACTCATTTAATTTATTTGAGTTTCAAAGTATTTGACTGATACTTCCTGTGGTTATTTCTCTTATTTCTTAAAATTTATAACTTCTCTCAAAGTCATTTTTAAAAAGGAAAAGCTGAAAACAGAGTAATGCCACTACTTTTTATCAAGTAGATTACTCTAATTTTTCCTCACTAAATTTTTCGATAAGTGATGGTTAGAAAGATTTCCTGTTCAGTATGAGGATCCAAAAGTGGGGTATATAGGGACTTCCCTGGTGGTCCAGCTGTTAAGAATCTGCATTTCTAAGGCAGGGGACACAGGTTTAATCCCTGGTCTGGGGAACTAAGATTTCACATTCTGTGAGGCAACTAAACCTACAAGCCTCAGTGAAGACCCAGCACAGCCAAAATAATAATAATAAAAAAGAATGAATCTATAGTTAAAAGTCTTCCCTTAAAAGAAAAAGAAAATGTGTACAAAGGATCTGTACTTGCTCAAGTTTACTAAATGAAGATGAATATAAGTTAGCAAGTGTTTACAAATGCCATAGTACTAAAAGGTTTCCTCTGTGCTGAAGGACCAAATATCTAGAAATCAAAAGAAAAGCTACAATCCACACTGAAATCTGGTTCAAAGTGAGTCATGTTGGAATCATTGTCTTTCAACTCTGATTCTAATCCCATTTACCTCTAGAGTTTGGAAAAGGAATATATTGGATACTTTGTCAGGATAAAGAGTTCTAGACTGTGAAACTAAATGAAAAAGATAATTATCTTTTTCGAACTGAGATTTCTAGAGCATTTGGTGTTGTTCAGTCACTAAGTCATGTCTGACTCTTTGCGACCCCATGAACTGTAGCACACCAGGTTTCCCTGTCCTTCACTATCTCCCAGTTTGCTCAAACTCATATCCATTGAGTCAGGGTCTTTATCTAAAGCATTAAAATTACTCTATTTAAAATAGTTTAATAAAAGCATCTTATTTTAAAATAAATGCTTGCAGAGCATCTTAGGAATAGATTTTTGCAATATTAATATTCTTCATCAGAACTGTCTTAGGCTGTTTAGAAAGTTAATGCTTAATAGTTGCTTTTTAAACAACTTGAAATGCTGTTTTAAAGTATAGATTTTAAATTTAAAAGTGTTATGACATAATCACTCACTGGAAAAATATGAACTGATTATTTGAAGATTCCTTTTTTAAAGTTAACTATTAGATTTATTTTGTTTTCATGAACAGTTTAATGTTATTAATTTTTTCAGATAAGATTATTTTGAAAAATTTCAAGAGTTTAATTTTTTCACTGCTGCATTTCCTCATCCCCTTCCCTCACTTTGAAAAATCTTAATATGTTAGAGAATTTGAGAAGCATGTCTGCATGAAAGTTCTATGAATAAGTAGGTTAAATTAGTTAACCTATGTGAACTATGTAATTGTTTTTATTGTAGACCTCCTAAGAAGTGGCAAACCTTGGTGGTTGAATGAGACATCTGCTTTTCCTTCTTCACTACCAAATAATGGCACACATATCCACCAGAGACAGAAGAGATCAGTAAGCATTGAGCGGTTTGTGGAGACACTAGTAGTGGCAGACAAAATGATGGTGGGCTACCATGGCCGCAAAGACATTGAACATTACATTTTGAGTGTGATGAATATTGTAAGTTTGATCCCTCTATATAATTTTTTAACTTAATAATTTGTTGTGATTTTTGACTAAGGTCATGGATTTTTATTGTGAAATAATTTTGAGAACTAGCTCATCGAAAGTTAGAATTGATCTATTAGTGTTTCAGTTCTACAGAAGATGAATTTAAAGGTTACTTTATTATTCATTTAGATTGACTCACCCTCTTAGTTACTATGTTGTAGTTCATCTTTAGAAGAAGATTTTTCTTGAAGTAGATTTGTATAACAAACCTTTTACTAAGATGTCTTGAGGGTAGAGTTCTAAGTGATATGAGATAAAAGAATACCTTTTTATACACACAGTGGTTAATTTGATGAAAAATTGTTCTACCACTCTAAAAAAATTGAACAATCACTTTGTGATTTTTGTCTGACTTTGTGTCTTTCCTTATTTTCTGGAGGTCAGGTTGCCAAACTTTACCGTGATTCCAGCCTAGGAAACGTTGTGAATATTATAGTGGCCCGTTTAATTGTTCTCACAGAAGATCAGGTAAGAATGAATTAGTTTATAAGTCTAAAACTCTTAACAGACAGACTATAGAAATATTAAAAAGTATATTTTATTGTTGCTATTCTAAGAAAGTACTAGCTGAATATGACTTTCAGCTCTAAGCACTTAATATTTTAAGCAAATTTGAAATAGTTTACAAGAATATACCTCGTATGTACAAAATGTATATATGTGTGTGTTAGCTATATGTTTCAGTATAAAGATGTGCATTTGTATGGCAGACCTTATAACAGTGGTTTTGGTTGGTTTTGTAGGCTGATAATCACATATATTCACATTATCTTTAAAGTTGAAACTGGAAAGAATATCTGTTCAATAATACACTAAATTAATTCTAGGCCAGATATGAAAGAGATGAAAATTGGCAAGAGGTTATTCCTAGAAACCACTATGTCTAATTATAGTCCCACTTTAGTCTTCAAAAGTTTTAACAACTGACCTTAGTAATTTGTTTGGAACATTTCTGGTATGCATGTTGTATTGCAGCCAAACTTGGAGATAAACCACCATGCAGACAAGTCCCTCGATAGCTTCTGTAAATGGCAGAAATCCATTCTCTCCCACCAAAGTGATGGAAACACCATTCCAGAAAATGGGATTGCCCACCACGATAATGCAGTTCTTATTACTAGGTATGGTTTGTTGAAAGTATTTTACCTTTGATTGTTGTGTTTGATATTGTAACTATATTTGGTTCTGTCTAAAGCCTCATTCAGGTAATGAGTGTAGAGAAAGCAAAATGGTACTTTATTATTCACCACTGAGAAAGAATATATTACACTGTTATTGTGTTTGCATTGAATGAACCAAATAAGAGAAAAGAAAAGATTTAGAGTTGACTTAGAAATTTAGTAAATATCTTTCTTCTATTAAGGTCTGTTCATAAAGTTTAACTGGAAACACATACATGTTTTGTTGATTGAACAAAATACTTGTTAAAGCAAGATTGAAAAGTATGAGAAAAATCTGTCTTAAACATAAAAGTGGGTCATTACTCTTGTTTATAAAATATATTAATTATTCTTACCTCCAGTTGTTAAAAGGGAAGACTTCAGTAGTTACACAGTATATTTAGATGAATGCTTATTTAATTAAACATTTTAATTAAGAGATACATAAAGAGGCATATTTGCTACACTGTATGTTGACTAGCTTGTCTTTCAGGCAGAATTATTACTTGATGATAACTCAATGAATTCATATATTTCTTTCCAGTTTTATAAACCTATATTCAGATCTACATTATTTCTTAGTCTTCAACAAAAACTCTGTGAAGTAGATATTATTATTATTTTTCTCATGTAAGAAATGAGGTAACCAGTTCAAAATATTTAAGTAAAAGAGAAGGGCTCAAGTCCAGGCTGTCTGTCTTAGTTTTGTAATACTTTGATTATGGTTGGTTAGAACCATACTTAAATCAACTAAAGATGCTTTTCTTTTGATCTCTTATTAGTATTTAAAAATGAAAACAAAATAAGTTATAACAAATAGACAATTAAGCAAAATGAAAGCATTATTTTATCTTTGCAAGTGGATTACTTTTTTTTTAATTTGCAAGGCCATATTTAACATCAGCGTCATCTATGGTATACCCAGTGACTCCACGTTAGACTCTCTAGAGGGGGAGTAAAAAGTATGTAGGATCAGAACTGTGAGGCCCAGTGTGATAATGTGACTTTAGTTTTTTGAAAAATATTCCTGTTAATAGAGTTGTCAAGTTTCTGATTTCACCTTTATTTAATTTATGATTACAATCGACTTCATCCACCTCACATTGTAAACCAAAAAAAATTTTTATGACATGCTTGCTGAATAAAACCAAAGTTCTGTGTTCATGTATGTTGACTCATCAGGCTGATAAATTCTTCAATTCTTCAAAGTCTTATGGTCTGGTGTGATTCCCAAATATATTTGAGGAGTTGAAAATATACTAGGAATTGTGCAAATATAGAAACTTTTATATAAAGGTATATATGATATGATTGGTTTCTATGAAATTACTAGAGGAATATATTTATTATATATGTTTAGCAGAATGATCACAGATACTTGCATTGGTATCTGTACTCATAGTACTTATATTTATAAACGCTACCTCTCCCCAAAAGGTTCCTGATGATTCATATTTTTGCTATTGTATCTGCACTGGATTTTCAACATTTTAAAAAATCTATTTATTTATTTACTTTACTGTGCCATATCGCATGGCTTGCAGGATCTTAGTTCCCCTTCCAGAGGGTTGAACCTTGGCCCCTCCACAGTGAAAGGACAAAGTCCTAACCACTGGACTGCCAAGGAATTCTTGGATTTTTAACTTTTCCATCAAATGACAGGAGTTATATATACTAAGAGTGCAGAATTATAAGTATTCAAGTAGGGAAATACATCTGGGCAGTTATCCACCCTATCTTTACACTGGCTACAGCATTCAACTGTCTGACTTTTTACTCTGAATTGGCCCGGATATTTTTGCGATCCTCTGTAGAACTCTTCTTTGCTTCTATAAGCTACTTTGAGTGCCTGTTTGATGTCTGAGATTTGAACACAAAATTTTCTTTTAAAATTTTCCTCCTAATGTTCAGAAAGCACTAGAAATGATCTCAGGACTTAAAGGTCAATACTACAAAGAATTCGTATATCATATAATTTTAGATTGGTTTTATAATGGAGGTTAGGAAAATGCCCTTTAGGACTGCATAGAATACCTTTTTGATTTGTTACTAAAGTCTCAAAATAACTTTCACCTTAATTAAAACCTGTAATTATCTTTATTAGGGCCACAGAGTGGCTTATATAAATGAGTTTCTGAATATCATTTAGATTTTTAATGGTTGGAAGTTTTACCAGTTCTTGACTCTCTGTTGTATATTTTTGATTTGAGAAATTGAATATATGCTTATATCATAGTGCCACTTTTAATAAAAATAATTATGACACTTACCTAGATGATTTTATATTAACTTTGAAAATTGCTTCATGTAACTCATTTGTTGACATGTTCAAGATTGTGACTCCACCGTTTGGAGGTAAGATCGTGATTTATGCTTGTTTGAAATGTCAGCTCACTAGGGAGAGTGTATAATGTGTTCATTGAGAATTCCAGAGGAAAAAACTCAAAATGTTATCTCCTCTTATCAAATGATCTTTTATTGATATAAATTTAAAACAAGCCACTGTACAAAGCTATCAGACTACCTTAAGTAGACAGAAAGAAAATAAAGAAAATTAAAAAATAAAATTTTGCTGTTTTATCTGGTATCAGCAGTATTGAATTAATTAACACTAAAGAGCATATTAAAAATGATTAATATATACATATATTTTAAAATGTTTATATACTTTTTTTGTGTGTAAGCATATATGTATATATAATATACAGTGAAATTTGTTATACCTCAACTAGCTTTAGCTAACTTTTTTTTAAAACCTGAAGCTGAGAATTCCTTGGCAGTCCAGTGATTAGTGGGGCTTCCCAGATAATACTAGTGGTAAAGAACCTGTCTGCCAGTGTAGGGAGATGTGGGTTTGATCCATGGGTTGGGAAGATCCCTTGGAGGAGGGCATGGCAACCCACTCCAGTATTCTTGCCTAGAGAGTCCCATGTATAGGTCACAAAGAGTCAGACATGACTGAGGCAACTTAGCATGCATACACCAGTGGTTAGGTTTTGGTCTTTTCACTGGGAGAGCCTTGGTTCAATCCCTGGTGAAGGAACTAAGATTCCACAAGGCGTGTAGCATGTCCAAAATGAACAAGAAAAACTGAAGTATAACTAACAAGCAAAATTATGTATATTTAAAGTGTACAATGTGATGATTTGATATACATTATGAGCTGATATATATATTTGTGGATATATATATTTATATATCCATTGTTGAAAGTGAAATATTAAAATTCCTACTAGTATTGCATTGCTTCCTATTTCTGCCTTCTGATCTTCCAATATTTGCTTAATATGTTAAGGTGCTCTGATTTTGAAGTACGTATATATTTTCAGTTAAATACTCTTGATGAATTGATCCCTTTATCATTATATCATGACCTTCTTTGTCTCTTTTTCAGCTTTTGACTTAAAAAGTCTGTTTTGTCTAATATAAGTTTATCTTTTCTCTTTACATGAAATACCTTTTATATGTTTTTCCCTCCCTCCACTTTCAGTCTGTATATATCCTTAGAGCTAAATCATTTCTAGCTCTGGAGAAGGTCCAGCAGTATAGTCTTCATGCAGCTTTATCAGTTGCAGTTAGCATTGGTGAAGATTTCAGGGGTCCGCAATGGTCAAGACCCCTGCAGCAGCAGCAAAGGCTGCTGGAGACCAGCTGATCTCTTTTTCTCTCACAAGGGATATCATTGTGCAAGGGATTCCTCTTGGTGTTGGGTCTGGCTTGGAAGAGCCTACACCAGTGTTGGTGTCCAATGTGTGGGCACCTGTGGAGCAGTCATGGAGCTGGGGACTGGAATGCTGTTGCTTGCAGAGTGACAGCGGCTCTGGGGTTGGTGTGCTGGCTATACCACAGCAGCAGTGATGTATGAGTTGCAGATGTGTGAATTAGCCATGTAGATGGAGTCTGAAGCATGGCACTTACAGAGCAATGGTGGCATTTGGGTCCAGGTGCTAGCTAGCTGGAAGTGACAGTGCCTCCAAGTCTTGAGGTGTGGTCATGTGTGGACCTGTGACAGAGCTGGAGTCTGGTGCATGGGTGCCACAAAGTGGCCCTAGATCCGGGTCTGGCATGTGGGAACAAGGGGAGCAACTATGACTCTGTAGTGTCCGGCATATGCTCAGGGTCGGGGAGTGCTGGAAGTTCTTTTCCCAGGCCAGCATAATAGTGGCTCTTTTTGGGGGTAAGCACAGTGACATCTTCTTCCCCAAGATCTGTGACAGCAATAACTTAATTACTTGGGTGGTAAAAACTGCCAGTCTCCTCGGGAGCAGCTGTTGTGAGGGCTCCTCAGTCTTGTGGCTGATAGTTTCCACCTTTCCTCTTTGTTCCTAGTTGCCTTTAGACATCTTCAGTAAGCTCATCTCCCCAGAGATCCCTTCTGTGCAGTTACCCTTTATTTTTTGCCCTATTATGTTACTGTAGTTTCTTAATTAGACTTAATTAGACTCAAGCCCTTTCAGGACCATTTTCATTTGTGGATTGCTGTCTAATTGTCTTCTGTTGGGTTATGGAGGCTGATATTTCCTACTTCACCATCTTGCTGATATTACTCTCCTGGCTTTATTCAATCTTAACATTATGTCCCATCAAAGAGCAGTTTCATGTCACTTTCTGAACTGATATACTTGCATTGATCACTTCTCTATGGTATATCAACTACCTGACATTATAGTTTTGAATACCAGAGAAAGTGCTATAATGTATAAATTTGTCAAAATATGACCCTGTGATGCTTTTTTGAATAATGGTGCATTATTGAAACTTATCTTCCATTTTTGTGATCTGTTTATAGTTAAAATAGTAGTAACTTACATTGCTTGCTTCTATAGGATAAATCTGCTTGGATTATCTGACAGTTATTAGTGCTCATCTAAATCAACTTGACATTTATTAACTCTTTCAAAATAATGGAGTATGACATGATATAATTAGTTCAAGAAGTGATTAATAGTTTGTACCTGATA